GAGGGGCTTGTGAAGATCTTCATGCAATCACCAGTGTGTTTCACTTGGGAGAGGGATTCACCCCAGTATCATTTCCTTTGTGCTTTCTCTTATTGTGAATGGTTGAATTTATGGGGGAAACAGAAGCTTGCCTCAGTTTACCCACTGCACTTGGATTTATGGAGACAGCAATCCAAGCTGTCTCCTACAGCAGGGCTCACCGAGAGGGTACCAAACAGAATTACAAGGTTATCAAAAGTACTGCCAGCTGGTTGAAACTCTGGGGCTGTGTCTAGACAGGCATGATTTTACGCAAATACTTTTAATGGAAAAGCTTTTCTGTTAAAAGTATTTGCGCAAGAGAGCGTCTATACTGGCATGTGCCTTTGCGCAAAAGATTTGCTTTTGCGCAAAAGCATCCGTGCCAGTGTAGACGCTCTCTTGTGCAAGAAAGCTCCGATGGCCATTTTAGCCATCGGGCTTTCTTGCACAAGAAATTAACGGGCTGTCTCCACTGGCCGTCTTGCGCAAGAGGGCTTATCCTTGAGCAGGAGCGTTGGAGTATTTGCGCAAGAACCACTGATTTTGTACATTACAAAATCAGTGTTCTTGCGCAAATACTCACAGCCAGTGTAGACAGGCAGCAAGATTTTGCACTAAAGCAGCTGCTTTTGCGCAAAATCATGCCAGTCTAGACACACCCTGGGTGTACTGCAGAGACTAGGGAATGTAAGAGTTTAACCGATTAGCTGATGCTTATTGGTTTCGGTTACCGGTTAAACTCCAGTGGATCACCAGTGCCGTGAGCTCTCCCAGCTCCAGCAGCCCACAAGGCCAGCAGCCAGTAGGACAGGCAGGCAATAATTTTTAAAGGGGGGGGCCACTTGGTGAATTTCTGAAGGGGCGAGGCCTCGGGCGTAAGGGGCAAGGCCTGGAAACCCTGACTGGCCTGGAGGTGGGGGAGAAGGTAAAGTCTTAGCCACCCCCATACCCACTGTAGGTGCACAGTGCCTAGAGAGAACTGCCAGCTGGTCCCTCTGGTGCCACTTCTCCTGGCCAGGGGAGGAGACTTCGCGCCTTCCCCTGGTCCCAGGTCTCGACTGGTCTGGGGGTGTGGGAGTGGCAGAGTAGCCACAGGCCAGGAGCCCTTTCGATAGCAGCAATTGCAACGGCTCGCGCTCCATGGCAACGCATTAGCGGCAGAGCCGGAAATTGCCGGGGGCTGGATCAAAATGCTAGGTGGCCCAGATCCAGTTCGCTGACAGCCTCTTGCCCAGCCCTGCACTGGGAGCTCCCGACGCTGGCAACCCGTGGGGCCAGCAGTGGTTACTGTAACCAAAGTGAGTATTTTTAACTGTTTTTACATCTCTATCAGAGACAGGACTGAAAAGCCTCAAATATCACTGGCGCCCGTTTTAATCCCTCAACCACCGGCTTGGACAGCTATCCAGTTACATTTTCATTCCTATGTGGCAAAATTCTCACTGTCTGGCCTAACCCTGCCAACCTAAGGCCAAGGACTTCACTCAAGGCAAGCTGATGCCATTGCTTTTGGAGCAGAAGGGGACAAGGAAGCTGCTGCCTTGTTTTCTCACTAGGGATGTTAAATATCGATTAATGAACTAATCGAATAGTCAACGGGATTTCCATCAACTATTCGATTAGTTGATAAGGACTAGCGCGTGTGCTGCCTTTGAAATGTACAAAAGACCCAGCTTTTGCTTCTCAGATAGTTGACTAGTCAATTAGGGTACGTTTAGACTACAGGCTTTTGTCGACAGAAGTTTTGTCTACAGATACGGTCGACAAAGCTTCTGTCGACAAAGAGCATCTAGACTACATCCAGTTCTGTCGACAAAGCAAGCCGCTTCGTCGACACGACAGTGTAGATGCAAAGGACAGTGTAAATGCAATAATGCCTTCTATCGACAGAACTCTGTCAACAGAAGGCATTATTCCTTGTAGAGTGACAGGTTTACCGCCATCGACAAAACTGCTGAGTTCTGTCGACGTTATGTCAACCGAACTCAGCGGCAGTGTAGACGCAGGTATAGTTTCGTCGACAAAAGTCCACTTTTGTCGACAAAACCCTGTAGTCTAGACACACCCTTACATCCCTATTTTTTACCCTTTCACATTTTCTTTTTCCTTCGCCAATAACTTCCATGACAAAGACTGGCTTTTACAAGGGGAAGAAACAGGCAGCAGGCAACTGACGGCCCCAACACCCCAACGTGGTCATTGTGAACTTGGCGGGAGAACGAACGGGAAGAATTAGACAAAGATTTCCTTTCTTTCAGAGCCATTTTTGTAACAACCTGGCATCAAAATGACAACCTTGCCTGGATTTTCGCATTTGACACCTGGGTGAATGGCTAGGTAGGCTGCAGCTTTATACTAACTTGACATGCCTGTCGGTGCCAGTGGGTAGGTGGGGGTAGAGATGGGCGCCCTTCCCCTTCCCTCCCTCCGGCCTCCCAAAACAGAACACGGCTCCCAAGACATTTTTCAAAGGCAACAGCGCAGCTATAAACCCAGCACCATTTTAATTTCATTTGCCACTCGGTTCTGCACAAATAATGACTGGCCTGCTATGTGAGGAATGGAGGAGCACAGGGGAGCCAACTCTGAGATCAAAACCGAAACAGATATCACACAGGGGAAACACAAGGGTGACAGGATGCTCTTCTGAGTCAATGGCCATGTTTTGGACTGTCCTAACTGCAGTTTACACTTCGGAGGCACTCAAGGACACGACCACGTATTTCATTAACTGTCTGAATGGAAACATTTATCCTCCTCTTACGAACCGCTCCATTATCAGGGAAATGCTCTGCTATAATTAGTGCAAGAGCTTAATTCTTAGCAATTTACAGATCTGATTGCACATTTGTTTACAGTGCCGTGCTGCTGCCTTCGCTGTTCCTAGCCGCCACAGTATTTCATGGTGGATCAAGACTATAGAGACAGAGAGGAACCGTCATCCCCACTGTCACCCTCAAGAGAATTTTACGTTGCATTCTAGAGGCACAGCATGAACACTGTGCTTGTCAACAGCGCCTGCGGAGGGATGGACCAGCACTTGTAGCAATATTCATAGCGTGTCAGCCACCAATGCCCGAGACGTCTCTGTTCATGGTATCAGGACTTTGGACTTGACTCCCATATGTGAGAGTGGGCAATCCGCTCGCTCTGTCTCTGCTAGCACTAAGGGAAGCTCAGCTCCTTCCCTGGAAATCAAAGGGAAGGCTCCCGAGTTTTTCAATGCCCATGAGCTGCAAAATGACTGCTTCTCCAGAAATGACTGTTCTTGGGAACACAGCTCTTCTCCTTTGGTTTCCATGCTGTGTTCCACTCCCACCCACCCAGCTGAAGGCATCCTTCCCAGCACAAGCACAAACAGAATAGAACAAGGCCCTTGACCTCTGGCTCTGAGGGCAGATACCTTATCCACTGGGTCACTGGAGGAGCCCCCCAGGTCTCTTTTATCCATCCTATGTCCCAAATCCATCTTTTTTGAGGGTGGGCCTTGAACCCTTAGCCTCTGGTTCTGGAGGCAGATACCTTATCCACTGCACCACTGAAGGAGCCTCCCAAGTGCCCTATATCTCAGCCCCTCTTATCTGTCCTATGTCCCAACGGTGCCAGGTGCATCCATCGCCAAGCTGATCTTGGGTGACCCCCTGTTGGATTTGGGGGGGGGGGCGCTCGAGCCCTCGACCTCTGGCTCCGAAGGCATGTAATGAGTAATGGTGTCAACTTGAGGGTTGGCGAGCAATTGCTGGGCACCTGGATCTCCAGGTGAAGTCCCGGAAGGGCTCAGCACCTCCAAAAGTCAGCACTAAGGATACCACACATACAGAGAGTTAGCAGACACCCATTGTAAATCACAAAGCTAGTTTTAATTTACACTTATGGAAACTTTAAAATCACCGAATACAAGGCTTGGGATTTCTTTTTACATACTGTACCGTTGACCACTCTATATAAAATGCCAGTCAACCAGTTAACCGCTATGTATAACTGGTTAGCCGCTTAACTGCTTAACCAGAGGGCTGTTCCAGTCCGGCCAAGCTGGAGTAGCCCCCTACCATGGTGTTGTGGGCCCGGCTGGGCTAGAGTAGCCTCCTGGTAACCGGTTACCTTACCAGGTGGTGCTTACCACTTAACCGATCACATCCTTAGACCACACTAACAAACGTTACATAAGGAAAAGGTGTTTGGAATCTACAGACAAACAACAGCCTCCAGCTCTCACTGCTGACAGTACAGTACCACGCTTTGGTTAAACGCAGCCACAGATTATCATGCACACTTCTGCACTGATTTCAACAAGAGCTGGCCCACCATACACCAGGGCTGAATTTGATCCTTAATCTCTAAATGATGTGCTCCTGCATCACAACCACTCACAGCTCCCAGGCCCGGAGCGCCTCTTCCTGCCATAGAACATGTCAGAGATGCAGTGCAGCCCTGTTTCCCCGGCAAAAAACTAGAGACATTCAAAACCATCACAAAACCTACTAGTGTCTTGGGTCCCCAGGGAGAAAAATGCCTGGGGGTTCAATTCACACCCATGCAGAGGACCAGCAGCAGGGTTATATACCACTTCCGTTCCTTTAAAGGCCCCCTAACGTCAGGTTTAAGTGTTACTCAATCCTTCGGGTGGTCCCCGACCCCACCATGGAAGTTGATCCAAAGTGGATCGCTCTCATGGGCATGGATGGCTTTTGGTAAACTAGGACTTTCTGACAACAGGCATCATGGATTACACAGGGTAGTCCCAGCAGATCCAAAGATGCTGAAAATTTTGCAAGGTACAAATGACCATTCTACATTAAGGAGAAAGTCCCTGTTCATTTTACCTTTGCAAGCACTGAAAGCCAAAGAATTCAACCAATGATAAAAACAATTAAACGGTAAAAAAAAAAACCCCCCACAATACTAGATTTTTGTGCCAACAAGTAAAGCATTCTAGAATCAGCAGCCAGGAGTAACAATCAGTTCCAAGAAGGCCATACCTGGATGTATCGCAAGGCACTCCTTAGAACGCTGAGGTTTGAGGTCTTCTTATCATCTACATTGGGGATGTTGCGTTTTAACGTCTCAAAGCATTCTTTCAAATGGGCACGCCTGGAGAAACAACATGAGTCGCCTGTCAGTTTGCGGGAGCATAAGCCAAACTGCGGATGAGGACTAAATTTGGGGCCTGATCCAGCAAAGCACTTAAAGATGTGGGTCGCGATCAGTGGGATTACCTGCACTCTTAAACCTGAGCCAGTGTGGTTCAGTGGAGCAGTTGCTGGACTGGAGCATATGAGACCTGCGTGCCATTCCCAATTTTGCCACTGTAGTGTGGTGTGCTCTTAGATAAACCCTGTCAACTTTTTGTGTCTGTTTTGTCTCTCACCATTTATCTATTTAGATTGTAAGATCTTTGGGACAGGGATTGCTTTTTACTATCGGTTTGCAGTACAGTGCGGCCCTGATCTCAGGGGAGGACTCTAGGTATTACTTCAACACAATAAGCAACATTAATAATATGCATGTGCTAATGCACTTTGCTGGATTAGGGCTTTGCAGGGTTATTGTAATGCAATTCAGTAGTAAGCAAAACAGACAAGAGTCAGCTAAAAAGGAAATTGAGTAATACAAGATCAATTAAAGTAACTCTACATTTTGTTCAAGTCTTTCTAGAAAAACAAGTAGTTGCAGACGAGAAGCATAAGAAAGGGTGTTACAATAAACAAAAATCTGGCTTTCTACGCACCTGTTCTTCTCCAATTTATTATGTACTTCCCTGGTCCCAACCCTGCAACCCAAACAGAACAAAGATAAACTCAGTGTCAGATTTAGAACTGTGTCCATTTGAGCCTTCAGCCTTGTGTGTCGCTGATATATAAGGAGAGATTTCTAAAGAACATCAGGAAACTGTTCAGAAATGAGAGGTTTTTATAACATATTATTTGTAAATATAGTATAGACCTGTTGTATATATGATATAAACCATATATATATATATATTATAACCATGCACATACATCTCATACACAATACATAATGTATATATCAGTGTTTCTCAGCCAGTAGTATGAGTATCCTTAGAGGTACTTGAGAGAAGTCTGGGGGGTGGGGACAACTGAAATTTAGAGAAAACTGAATTTTTGTTTTAAGTTTTACAGCGCTTTATTATTTTTGTACTTTTTACACCCAAAAATTTCGTTGCCCACCCAGCTATGATTAAGTTGTTTAAACAAATGTGTTGCAATAGTAGAAAAAAATGTTTGTGTGTTTGAAAACTGTAGGTACTGGGGGTACTTGTAATTTTTTTGAAGGGGTACTTTATTAAAAAAAAAAAAAAAAGGTTGAGAAACACTGGTATATACTGTATACTAGGTGCATATAGGTTCCAGTTAGTATATTAGGTATATACATTAGAGAGGAGAAAAGATGCAAAGCTCAGAGGTATTTACATTGGTGTGGATTTTGGGCATGTATACTGTACAGCACTAAACACTATAGTATCCAAGCTTTGACTTCAGATCGGTTTCGGAGTGTCTGGAGCCAGACCTTAGGCCCATTTCTAATCCATACCCACCCATCAGTGGGAGTTCTACAACTATAAACTAAAACATATGCTACGTGGCAGGCATACTTGAAAGCTTTTCATTTTCTGTTGTAACTGGAATAATGTAACCAAACAGAAATATGAAACAATGTAATCAAGGAACACAGAATTTGCCACTGTTCAACAAACACAGTATAGGGCCAGTGCTCCAGATGCTTATAAAAACAGAGAAAACCTTCTTTCAGAATGAATTCACAAATGTCACCTCCCCCTGGCCACAACTTAGCTCTGGGGTTCAGACTGTTCTGTTGTAACTGGAATAATGTAACCAAACAGAAATATGAAACAATGTAATCAAGGAACACAGAATTTGCCACTGTTCAACAAACACAGTATAGGGCCAGTGCTCCAGATGCTTATAAAAACAGAGAAAACCTTCTTTCAGAATGAATTCACAAATGTCACCTCCCCCTGGCCACAACTTAGCTCTGGGGTTCAGACTGGAGAGTATATTTTCCAGTTTCTGTTCAGTTATTTGCCACTGATAAAAAATATGCGGAAAGCAAGGTCAATTTTGTATAAGGGCTAAAATTATTCAATCAATTAAAAATAAACCGCCCTGGGCCTTTTCCCATGAAACATTTATGAGCTAATTAAACCATCTCTCCACATACATGTGTCTGGACAAGCAGCGCTGAAGAGAAAACAGCACAGACCTAGGTGTCTGACCCAAAGGCATTACAGAAAGTAGCATTTACAAGGTGGCTTGCTTAATGTCCTGGAAACAAGCAAATCCTGTTCGGAGCTAAACAGTCAAAGGCACTGCCCGCTGTCCGAACCCTCCAGGAATAATTGGGTGCAAGTCAGGAGGTGGCTGCCTGCCACAAGCAGAGTTCTGGAGATTGGGCCTGGGGCTGTGGTAATCTGTTCTGACGCAGCATTTTCCCCGTCACATAAAACCAGAGCTAGAGAAAGGAGCACGTTGGGCCTGTTCCGGAATTGCAGGCACCCAATTGCTCACTTATTAAGGAAGAGTAATCACTGGACTTGCCCAGACCACGGACTTGCATGAACACAAATGGGCATCTGACGAAGCGGGTCTTTGCCCACGAAAGCTTATGCTCCAACACTTCGGTTAGTCTATAAGGTGCCACAGGACTCCTCGCTGCTTTTGCAGATTCAGACTAACACAGCTACCCCTCTGATACTTGACACAAATGGGCAGTTATGGGTCTATCTAGCCATTTGTATGCACAATCTCTTTTTCACAAGCAATCCTGGTAGCAACTAGGAAGGTTAAAATACGTTTATTCAAGTAAATGTGTAACCGCTAAAAAACAAAAGTTCAGCGGTTACACGTGGGCGTGGGAGGGGCAGTCAGCTCCCTGGGAGCCAGTGTGTGCAGAGAGCTGGCTTTTAAACTGACTCCCCATGCACACCATCTACTGCCAACCCCCTGCACTGCTGCCTCTCTTACAGAGGCAGCAGTGCAGGGGGGAGGAGGGGGAGGTGGCTCTCCATGCATACTTGAAGGGTGTGTACAACCACGCACATTAACCGATGAGTTCATCGGTTACCATGTAAACGGTTACACTTTCACATCCTCAGTAGCAACTGGCATTTTTGATAATCCAATGCTAAAGACCACAACCTTTCTAGCGAGAATTATGATTATATTCTGAGGAGAAAAACTGCTACTCTCTTCATAGCTTCCTGATTTAGACTCTTTTTTATCCTTCTGTCCTTTACTGGCTTTCCTGGGAAGAATCTCTGTGCCCCCAAGAGACACAAGCTCCTTTCATCTTCTCTACACCTCACAGCCCTCCCCTGCTCTTAAGGCCCCACTCTGCAGCCATTACTCTTTGGCTGAGGTGAACCAGATGAGACTCCCCCTTGGCCGGGGGTCAACAACGCGCCTCAGTCAGCCAAGAGATGGAGGATGCTGTTCAGCAAGGCCAGGCACCCTCTCTCCACCAATGAGCAGAATTCACAGCCCTTCATTTTTGGACTCCTTTTCCCTGTTGCATTAGAGCAGGGTTTCCCAACTTATGGGTTGGGACCCAAATATGGGTTGCCATTACATTTCAAAAGAGTCAAGTGTCTCCCTAGGTGGCTCTGCCCTCCCTCCTCCCCCGGTTTTTGAATTGCCTTGCATTACCAAGTCTTTCTGAATTGTCAAAATAGGTCCTCATCTGGAAAAGGTTGGGAACCGCTGCATGAGAGCAATGCTGAGACCGAAGGCAGAGAACACAGGATATAAACAATGGACTACGGCGCGTTGAACCTCTTGACTAGCAGTGCAAATCCCGCTCAGTCTGGTAATGAGCAGAAGGCAATGCTACTCTTTGTTGCTTGGTACCAACCCCAGGTCTCAGTGGACAGCTGTCCATCCCAAAAAGGCATCCTTGTTCGCAATCTGAGCAGAGGCATGGAAGGCCAAATGTACAGTAAGGACCCAGTATCACCTAGGGATGTACAATCCTGGTTAATCAGTTAACTGACTGAACCTTAGATTTAACTGGTTAACTGATTAAGCCCCTCCCCCACCTCCCAAGAGCATGGGGCTGCAGGAGATGAAGGGGTAACTTCTGCTCCTAGCCCCCGCATGTGTGAGGCTCCTGTTCCTGGTCTCCCCTCTCTCCCCCAGCGGGGCTGCTCCTGGATACTGGTTAAACGGTTGACCCGTTCACGTCCCTAATGTCATCACACCCCTACATGTGGTCTCTCCAGGCCACGGCTAAGACAAACTGGCAGGACAGCATAGGGGCAGCTCTCAGAATCTTCACCTCTGCTGGACCTCTTATCTGGCTGGAGAGAGGAGTTTAGTTACCTGTTATACATAATTTTGTCTCAACAAAGTTCCCCTTTAATTCCTGAACTGACACACCAAGCACAAAGAACTTGTCCACTGCAGCTAACCATAGGCGTGTTTGCTCTGTTACCTTTGTCACATGAGAACCAGGACACTCCTCCTCTGTGAAACACGATGCTCGTGTGCTCACCTTGCATTTAATTTAGTATTTAAAATTATCATTGCACAAAGAAATAATGATGATGCTATCTGCCTTGGGAAACTGTTCTAATGACAACCAAATTTGAACTGCTGTTGCTCACAGGGTCCCTCCTAAGGATGTTAAGGACTAGTTGACTAGATGCTTCCTCCCCTTTGCTGCCTCTAGCAGATAGAGGCAGCATGGGGGGAAGGGGGGAGGAAGGGGTACTTCAAAGCGGCAGTGCCGCACAACTGAGCCAGGTATCAGCTGTGCTGCGCTGCTTTGAAACCCCAAGGCGGCGTTTCAAAGGGGCAGCCGCTGCACAGCTGATCCCCAGCTCAGCTGTGCGGTGCTGCCTCTTTAAAATGCCGCCTTGGCATTTCAAAGGGGCAGCACCCGTGGAGCTTGGGGGTCAGCTGGGGACTCCCCAGCTGATCCGGGGCTCTGCGCAGCATTTCGATGGAACCTGGGATCAGCTGGGGAGTCTCCAGCTGACCCCAGGCTCTACGTGGCATGCAGTGCAGCATGGAGCCCAGGGTCAGCAGGGGACTCCGAGTCCCACGCTGACCCCGGGCTCCATGGCTTTGAAATGCACAAGAGCCCTCACTGGGGACTCTTATATATTTCAAAGCAGGCATGCCCACCTGCAGCCAGGAGTTAGCGGGACTTCCTACTGGTCCCCAGCTGTATGCGGAGTTCCACATTCCTCCTTTGAAATGTGCAAAAGCCCCAGTGGGGGCTCTTATACATTTCAAAGGAGAAAAGCGGAAGTGCCTATCGACTAGTCAAATAGCTGATAGAAATTCCATTGACTACTCGACTAGTCAATTAACCGCAATTTAACATCCTTAGTCCCTGCATGGTTTCCCTGCAGGCTTTTCTTTTTTTTGCTTAAGCAACATTACAGACCTCTTGGGATCAGAGAAGTAGTCTACAGCAGTGGCTCTCAAGCTTTCCAGATAACTTTCCAGGAGTCCGATTTGTCTTGTGTACCATCCAGCTTTCCCCTCACTTAAAAACGACCTTGCTCACAAAATCAGACCTAAAATTACTGTCACAGCATGCCATTACTGAAAAACTGCTGACTTTCTCATTATTAGCCTATAATTATAAAATAAATCAACTGGCATATAAACACTGCACTCACATTTCAGTGTATGGTACGTAGAGCAGGACATATCTCATTGTCTGTAGGAAATTTTAGTTGGTACTGGCGCCAGTTGCTTTTTACACGGCCAGTTATAAAACGAGGCAAATATCTAAATGAGCTGATGTTCCCCTGGAGGACGTCAGTATACTCCAGGGATGTGTGTGCTCCTGGTTGCGAGCCAACTTTTATAATGCAATGTGGGGTCAGGCCAAACCCTGCGCTCTGGTCAGAGCAAACCAAGCCAACATCCCACTGTTGATCCAAACACTCATGGAACATGCCTGGTGCTGATCTGACTGTGGACAGGGTTGGAGAACCCTCCACAGAGCAGCGATCAAAAACCCCATCCCCCCCCCACGCCTCCTCCCTTTTCCTTTCCCTAATGGGTGCTCCAGCGAGCTGACCACAGGACACATGCATGAAGCAGTGTAAGAGTTTCTAGGGACTCACCCGCCAGGTCTCTTCTTCTGCTCATTTGGTTTGGCATCTTCGGCCGGGGCCAGCTTAAGAGCGTTGAGCTGCTGAGGCGGTGCCGGGTGCTGCTGCAGAGGCTGATGGGGCTGAGGCTGGATTGGCTGTGGAACCACATGATGCTGAGAGATGGCCAGCACTGGAGCGGCATACTGCTGCAACTGCTTGGGGCTCCCTGAAGGGGGCGTAGCAGCCTTGACGTCTGGGAGAAGGGGGCCGGGTGGTCTCTGTATGACAGGTGCACCGGAGGACACCTCCTTGCTGATGCTGGGAGTGCTTATGAGAGGCGGGTGGCGTATGAGCGAAGGGGACAGGGTGGCTTGCTGAGGGGGGCTAGTGACCACGGGGATGGGAATGACTGATATGGGGGCTGCTAGGGGCGGAGGCGGAGGAGGGGGAGGAGCTGGCGCAGGGGGAGAGATGGGCACTGCTGGGATTTCGTTCCTGGGCTCCTCTGGGTGGACGGCATTGTTAACCCTTTGTACGCTGGCCTTCTTCTGCTCCTGTTCCCGCTCTAGGCGGAGCTTTTCATTTTCTTCTGTAAAAGAAAACAGAAAGTGCTCATAGTGAAGCCCTTTGCCCGGACACTGTATTTGCCATCCGTAGGTCTCTGGTAATATCGGTATCCCTCCCTTTTGCTGATGGGGGAACGGAGACCCAGGGCGATGAAATGCCTTGTCCTAGTCCAGGCAGTAAGTTAGTGCAGAGCAATGAACACAGCTTGGGGCTCTCGATTCCCTGTCCTGCAACCCAGTTATGAGATCCTGCTACTTTCTCCGCTCACCTTCCCTTGATTCGTGCGTCAATAATAAAATACTTGCACATTTACCCGGCGTTGCTCAGGCCTTTATCTCAATATTTTATTTTATTCTTTTTTAAAATAAAAGGAAAATTCCTACCAAGGCGGCTTGTTCTTCCCCTTCCTGTCCCTATCAGGGAACGAGAGCAAAGTGCTCAGCTCATCTGCCCCCTGCACTCTCCAGCCAGAGGGAGGAATGCAGGAAACTGTGTACTTTCCCCTTGTTTCCTGACAAATGGGAACAGATAGCAGTGTCTCTATACGAATCGGAGAGGGTGGGGGAGCCTCAACTTCCCCCTCATCCTCTCTAAAGGGTGCCTGGCTGGCTCAAAGCTTGGATAGTCCCAAGGGGGCGGGATGCGTCCCCAGCCAGCCCCTTTCATGGTATTTCTGTCTCTAAGGTTGCCAGATGATGTAACCAAAAATACCGAACACCTCCCCCCCTCCACAAAAAAAGAAAAACACTGGGGAAAAAATTCTGTTGAGGAGGGAAAAAAGGGAGACAGCAAAGTTGTTGAGCACAAAAAAAAAAAAAAAAAGCAAGGGGCGCCGGGGGGAGGCCCAGTTGCCTAGTGTGTTGTAGGGTTGTCAGGTGTCCAATATTTTCACCTTCTAGGTGGAGACAAAAATCAGAAAATATCGGACATTTTAGGTGTCTGGTATTTTCTGAAATTTTTTACCGGACAAGAGGTGAAAATACCAGACTGTCTGGGTCAATAACGGACATCTGGCAACCCTATCTGTCCCTTTTCTGAGAAGCAATCCCATTCCAGGCACAGCCTATTGTCCTGGCACAAATAAACCCTGATCTTGCTCGTAGGGTTGCCAGGTGTCCAGTATTGACCCGGACAGTCCGGTATTTTCACCTCCCGTCCGGTAAAAAAATTCAGAGAATATCGGACACCTTAGATGTACGGTATTTTCTGAATTTTCTCCCGGCCAGGAGGCAAAAATGCTGGGCACCTGGCAACCCTACAAACACTCAGCGCCCGGCCTCCCAGCAATGCTTCCCCTGGCTCTTAGTGCTCAACCTCTGCCCTGCACTCACTTTTAAAGGGGACATGCTGTTTTATTTTAATTTTTTTTTTTTTTTGGCTTAAGTGTTTGGAGTCCTTTTTTTTTTTTTTTGGCTCAACAACTTTGGTCTCCCCCCCTTTTTTCCCCTTCAACAGAATTTTTCCCAGTATTGTTGTTGGGTTTTTTTTTGGGGGGGGGGGGGGGGGGGGAGTTTGTTTTTTTTTTGGGGGGGGGGGGGGGTCGGTATTTTTGTTTCAACTATCTGGCAACCCTACTTGCTCAGTATACCAAATTTGGCAGTCCTAGCTCTTACCATTTAGTTCTTGAACAAACAGAGAGACAGACAGACGAACTCAAACAGGGAGTAGAAGATAATGTGCTGCCTTCAGAACCAGACCTTCAGGACAAGAAACCAAAGGGTCCCGCACACATCCAACCACAAACCCACCAGCCTACTCTCCCCGACAGCAGTGAGACCAGGCAGTCTGGCAGAAAAGACATATACTACTAGATAACCCACCCGCTGTCTCAAGTAGCGGAGCTGCCAATGTCCTGGCCCAATCTGCCCTCCCAAAATGTGACACCCCTCCCCCCCTCACAAATTATAAGACTAGGCCTCACTGCCTTACTGGTATACGGAACATCTCGTACCAGACAAGACCAACAGATTATAAAGATCTGCCTCTTGCCTCCGGGTAGTGGCCTTCTCCCTGCTTCCTCAGAGATGATAAAACCATTTTCACAGCAGGTCTAGCTAGTTGTGCAATAATGTATATAGTGGGTGGGGCATGAGCTACCTTTTGGCCTCCACAGCTCTTATCTTATATACCCTGAACTAGGCAGGCCCAGAGCAAACCCTCCGATCTAAATACCTCGGACCCCCAGGCTACAAATCTGGAGTCTTGGCATTAAGAAAGATGAAGCACATTCATTTTTAACCCTTGCCTCCCAGAAGCTGGTTCAAAATGAAACCAAACCCCATCCAAAGAAACTTAAGGACAAGGAATCGCTGGCCCTATCCTCCGCACGCCGTCACACAGTTTTAAGCAGGCCCTTTGCAGGGACCCCTCCGACACGGTGCCTTGCCAGAGAACTCTTTTCCCTCCAGCTCAGGGCGCCAGTCCAGGTCCAACAAAAGACCCTGCTGCCGCGTACTGCACTGCAGCAGAATTCAATCCCCATCAACTCTGTCCACGTCTTGCTTTTTCCATTTATAAACAGGCCAAGGGCTCTTGAATGTCTTTAAAGGGACCTGATCCTGCAACGGCTGAAGCAGCAATGACAAAACTCCTCAGGGTTTCCAGGGGGGTGGGATCGGGCCCAAAGAGAGAGGAGACAATGACAGTGTCCGGCCTTAAAAAAACATCCTGGCTTCATCTCCCTAAGGCAGCGGTTTTCAAGCTAGGGGTCATGACCCAAGACTGGGTGGAGGAATGTCGGATGCTGGGTCTTGTTATTGCAGAGTGATCAGGTGACCAGTGGGGGTGCTAAGGAAGCTCCCTGTCTGTCCTGCACAGCAGACTGTGCTGCGCCCCAGAAGCAGCTGCCAGCAGGCCCAGCTCCTAGGCAGGGGGAGAACGCACAGGGCTCCATGCACTGCCCCAGCCCTGAGCACTAGCTCCACCCTCCAATTGGCTGAGGACCTACCGCTGGCTGTTTCTGAGGGCAGCATGGTCTGCGGTGCCAGGAGAGGCAAGAAGCTGCCTTAGCCCCCCCCGCTGTACCACTAACCAGGAGCTGCTCAAGGTAAGCCCTTCCTGGCCCAGCCTGACCCCCCACAAAGCCAGAGCCCCTTCTGACCCCCCAAAGTGCTCATCCTCAGCCCCATCCTGGAGCTCACACTCCAGTCACGTTATGTTGGGTCGTGGCATCAGCGATTTCCTTCAACTGGGTCATGAGAAAAAAAGTTTGAAAACCGCTGCCCTACGGAGATCCTGTGCATGAGTCAGGCAAACCCTTCCAGCTCATGCATCTCTCTTTGACTTCACACAGCTGTGAGCCAGTCCCTCCACCGCCTAATATCAACACTGGGCATGTGGTTCAAAAGGCCTCCCTGGGGTGATTCAGGACAGAAAGGACTTCTTGGGTTTGAAATCTTTGGGTATGTCTACACTACCCCGCTAGTGCGAACTAGCGGGGTAATGTATGCATACCGAACGTGCAAATGAAGCCCGGGATTTGAATTTCCCGGGCTTCATTTGCATAAGCCGGCCGGCGCCATTTTTAAATGCCGGCTTGTTCGAACCCCGTGCCGCGCGGCTACACGTTCCACGAGGCGTACAGATAGTTTGGAATGGCTTGCTAGTTCGAACTATCTAGCCCGTGCCACGTGTAGCCGCGCGGCACGGGGTTCGAACAAGCCGGCATTTAAAAATGGCGCCGTCCGGCTTATGCAAATGAAGCCCGGGAAATTCAAATCCCGGGCTTCATTTGCACGTTCGGTATGCATACATTACCCCGCTAGTTCGCACTAGCGGGGTAGTGTAGACTTACCCTTCCTGATTTACGGCTGGGGGAGGCTGCAATCCCACAACACTGAAGTCAATGGCAGCTGGGCCACCAACTTCAGTGGGAGCTGTGTGAAGCCTTCAGTGAGGAGGAATTCAGCTGGAACCCACAGACTTACTTCTGCTGTGAAACTGTGGCGAGGCAGGAGCAAGGCTCGTAAATTACATCTCGTTGCCATTGTGCATTAGTCATGCCCTTTCACTTAACTTTGACATGCCCGTGTGTATTTTTACACCACCAGACAAAATGTGTGTGTCCTGACTAGCAAAATAAACCCCCGTTAACCATGTGCCGGGTTCCTGGCTTGAATTGTGCAAATATGGCACATCTGAAATGTATTTATACTAGTGCTAAGACCCAGATAGACTTGGCATCTCCACACATCCCTGCTTGACATCAAATTCCTAGAAAACAAACTCACTCCTTTGAAGTGGGCAAACAACCCCCTACCTGCAAGTTTAAGGGGTGACTGCAGTCACGGAGTTACTCCACAAATCTGGTACCAACGACCTCTCCTTCCCCTGAATGATCCTCAAATACTCAGGAGCAAAGGAACCAGTGGTACAGCAAGTCTAGCATTCTATCTTTGACGCTCCCAAATGATTCAGAGGGAAGATACAAGAATGGCCCACTATTGTCAAATGCAACTGTCCCCCGGAAGAAACTAGGAGTTGTCCTGCATTCTGAAGCATGTAAGGGGTCTGACTCAATGAAGATATTTACACTGCACACCAGTACTCCCATTTTTTCACTACTTTCCCCTAGACGGCAGCACCAAAACCAGATGGAAATAAAAGAGACTGGTAATACCAGAAAGTGGGGGTTTTGAGCAAGTAGAATTTGAGCCTCTGCTTATTCTAGCTGGTTTGGCGTCTTCACCTCTTGATGCTAGACATGATCGTTTCTGTACCACAGGAGCAGCATGATCCAGCAGCAAAGGCTCTGGACAGGGAGTCAGAAAACCCGGGTTCCATTCCTAGCACAGATTTGGGCAAGACGCTTTCCCTGTCTGGGTCTCTGTTTAGACTGGGGTTGTGTCTCACTATCTGTGAGCACGGAGCCTACCACAATGGATCCCTGCTCTCAAATGGGCCTCTAGGTGCTACTAGAATGTAAATAACATTATGCCATTGATGTCAATCCAGAGTAACGCCACTCACTTTAGTTACCATGGATTGTAAAATGGAGCAGAATTTGGCCCTGAGTCAGTAAAT